GGGGTGGAGTTCCGCGCCACGCCGCTGGGCAAGTCGGCCGAGAGCAGCGGCGAGCAGAGCGGCGACGAGGACGACGCCTTCGAGGAGGGCGCGCTGACGGGCGAGGCGGGCGGCGGCGGCGGCAAGCTGAAGGCCAGCGGCCCGCTGGGGGCCAAGAAGCCCAAGGAGCAGCGCTCGCTGCGCCTCAGCATCAACGCCCGCGAGCGGCGGCGGATGCACGACCTCAACGACGCCCTGGACGGCCTCCGCTCGGTCATCCCCTACGCCCACAGCCCGTCGGTGCGCAAGCTCTCCAAGATCGCCACCCTCCTGCTGGCCAAGAACTACATCCTCATGCAGGCGCAGGCCCTCGAGGAGATGCGGCGCCTGGTGGCCTACCTCAACCAGGGCCAGGCCCTCGGCACCCCGCTCCCGGCCGGCCTGGCGCCCTTCGGACAGACGCCGGCCGTCTACCCCTTCGCGGGCGCCGCCTTGCCCGCCGCCTGCCCCGAGAAATGCACTGCCTTCGCCGGGGCCGCCTCCGGCCTTTGCAAACATTGCAACGAGAAACCTTGAGGATGTGTTGGGGGCCTTGCTGACGAGAGGGACAAAAGGCGCCGCCGCCGCCTTCTTGCCATCGATTCCGGACTCATCCTTCTTCTTTTTTTTGCCTTTAAACCAATTTTTCTCCCCCCCACCCCTTCCCGGAATTCGGACATCCTCGGATTTTTCTGCTGCTCTGTGCTCCTCTCTCCACCCCTCGCCGTTTCTTTTCCTTTGCTGATACTTTTCTTTTAGATGTTTCATTGAATTCTTATATTTTTGTGTATATTCTTCTTCCAGCTCTGTCCGGGATTAATTTCGAGCATCACCATTTCCCCACCTCGTTCTTATTTTCAAGATGGTTTTCGAACCAGGGTTTGGGAATATATTTGTATATAGAGAGCGAGATGAAATAACTGGGGTGGGGTGGGAGGTTTGGGAAAGAAAGTTTCAGTGAGTCTCCCCTTGGGAGAAAGGGGTTTGTGTACAAGCTATGCAATGTTAACAGAATGCGGAATTATTTAAATGGCTGGTTTTCCTGCCACCAACCTAACAATTGGCAGAGTGGTGTTCGCATGTCACATGCTCATTCATTTCAGGAGAGTCAGTGAGCACTGTTCGTGGGGGAAAAATGCTTCTGAATGGGTTCATTTACTCAGTTATATATTCTTTTAAACTTTGGACTTCAGTCTTTCCATTGTTGCCGTCTCTGTCTCTCACTCTCTCTCTTTTTTTGCCTGTTTCTCAACTTTGGTTCAACGCATTTCCAAAGTCAGTTGTGCACCCTGCTAAACAAAGAAATCTAAAAATCCCTCGGAGTATTTATATGTATTTATAATAAATAAAAAAGGACATCCAACGCCTTGGTTTCTGTCCTAAATCTTTTTATCAGGCCAGTTCAGAAAGGAAACCTTTTCTAAAAAGAGTCATTATTTTAAATGCGAGGGACTGACCATGAATCCTAAATGCTTTGGGTATAGCTCAGACAAAGTTAAGGACTTTCTAATCCCATTGATTTCAGGAAGGGTGAACAGGGAGAGTCAACTTGGCTGCTGAAATCAGTGGAAATTAACACTGTGCCTTTACTTGTGAGTAAGTACCATTGACCTGGGTGAGTCTTACTTTTGACTGCTGCATGGAATTGGCCTTGCCTTTTTGACCCATATTCATAGGGTAGTAAGACTCACTGTTTTTAGGTGGTGGTTTGTTAGAAGACAATTAGTTTTGGTTTGGGATGGGAGAGATTTGGCGGGGGGGGAATGAACCAGTGTTCCCTCTAAGCTGAGTTAGTGTGAGCTAGCTCACAGTTTTTTAGCCTCTGGCTCACACATTTTTTTGTCTTCGCTCAGGAAGGAGGGCTCCAAAGCAAACCAATTTATGCAGTAGCCAGATCACTCGCTCACAACTTTAATGCTAGTAGCTCACAAAGTTGAATTTTTGTGCACCTGTGAATTCGAATATCCTGGCCCAAATGCTGCTGGATATTGGATATTGTGAATGTCCATGCTGAAGTACATCCCACTGCGTTCAATGGAACTTGCTCTTGAGCATGAGATGGTAAACTGAAAACATTGGCGATGGTTTCTTAGTAAATACAAGGACGCATCGGGGTGTGGGAAATGTATTAGGTTTTACCAATCTCTGTCCGCAGCAATACAGACGACAAATCCCCCCAGTAGCTGGCATAAGGAGGTTGAAACGCGCTTTGCGTCAGGATGATCAGTGGAAAAATGAACTTTGGGAAAGGCGGATTATGAGTGCGAAGAATGAATCGTAGATTTCCTGGCGCCGTTCAGAGTGAAGCAGGTGTGTTTTATACCGAGCGGATCGTGATCCCGAGAAGGGTTTTTATGCCCATGTTGCAGGTGGAGAAGGAAACGGATTTGTACGGCAAAGGTAACAGGCCACCAGAGAGTGGTAAAAGTTGTGGTCTTAAGAGTCGTGAGAAGAGATAAAAGACTGGACGGTTTGGTGTGCAGGTACGCACACGCTTGTGCTGGTGATTGGTGCTTTGTGGAATGGGCACACGGGATGTGTTCTTTGACCACAACATGGTGTCCAGTGCCAACTCGGTATTCCCTTGCAGCTCTGTTGTCTGCTGCCACTTGATCCGAAAATGATCTCAGTTGCTCGGGTGCTGGCTGAACTCCAAACCCTTGTCCAGTTTAGAACCTCTGAGGTCCAAACCAAGGCACGTTTACTTTAAAGTAAGCCACACTGAGTCCAGGGGAGATTCCTTCCAAGCAAGCGTTTTTAGGTTTGTCGCTTTCACTGCCGTCCTGAAACCAGTTGAACTTTGGTTTGCCGTATGGCAACAACCATAGACCTAGTGTAGTCAGACCTTTGTGCTGGTTCACATTTATTTATTTTTTTAAGTATAAGACCTTGCAGCCCTTTGCTCTGGCTCAACGGGTTTGTGCATCAGGTTCCCCACGTCTTTTGAGATACCAGGTCTTCTGATGGGGCTGGCTTACCTATTGGACTGTTTGCATCTTCGTTGGATCAACATGGTTGATATGTATCATCGTGAAATTGAACTCTCGTTTTTTTTCCGCAGCTCGTGTTTGGGTTTGGAAGGGATTCGCTGGTGCTTCCAGGACCGTGATAATAGAGACGTGTTCTGTTCCACTAGGAGAAATCCCACTATTCAATGTCAGAGCTACCACGCAAATTGGTTCAATGAGAGCCTTGCAGGCTCTATCTGTCCAGGGCTATTTGTGTTAGGCATGGGGAAGAAGAAGGGGGGAGGTTGTAACTATTTAAGGTTATTAAACCAATTTTCAGGGCTGTCGCAAATGTTATGCTAATTCCGAAAGGGCTCGCGGTGCCTCCGAAAACCCCCTTGTCTCTAGTGTTTAATTTTAATTAATACACTTCCCCCCTCCTCCGGAGAAAGCCCTTGTTTTCTCGCGTGTTTGCAAAAAAAAGGGTATCTGTGATTAACCCTCATTCGGAAAGACATATGGCTTCAGATTGGTTTCTTCTCATTTCCATATTAATTTCTTCATTTTATTTTTCAGAAGGCCAGTTTGAGTGGCGAGGTGCGTCGTTGTCCCCCCCTCCTGCCACATTAAAATGAAAACAAAAAAAGAAAAACTGGGGGGGGGGATATATCAGATACTTAGGTGCGAAAAAGAAAGAAACTGGCAGTTTTCATTATCAATATTGCAGACGGTGGGCGGGTACCAGAAAAGGTCCTCTTCTTTTCCACCCAGAAAAAAAAAACAGGTTTAGGTTTTAAAAAAAAGAAAAAAGAATCACGATGTTCAGATAAACATTAATTCCGGCTCAAAGCCCTAGAAATGGAATTAACTGGGATTATTTAAATGCAGAGTAGTTTCATTGTTCCCCTCTTGCTAAAAGCGCTGTGGAATAAAAAGAGTTTTTATAAAGAGTCTGATTTTTAAAAAAAACAAAACAAAAAGGAAAAGCCCTTTTTTGTGTGTCCATTAATAACAACGTGATTTATAATTGCTCTCTTTATAGACAATAATGACTGAAAAGCTTGACTTCTGCAATTCCCAGTTCATGAAAAGTCTCCCGTAATGCTATCGGAAGTAATCGAAGCTGTCCACGTGCAGGTAAATGGGGTTTTTACCCTTCTCTTATTGCATCCAGAATGTTTATATCAAGTTCTGTTCTCCTTTCTCCCCGATAGAAGTCCGGCTTCTTATTTTTAGTAGGAAAAGTTAAATTAAGCTTAGCGTCGCTTACCCTTTCAGAGGGCCGAAAAAAGGTGCTTCACTCTGGAGGGCGCGTGGGAACCTTTCCTAAGAACCAGGAAGAAGTCATCCATTGATTTATAGGCAAAGTAAAGATGTCATTTGCTGCAAGTAGAAGGACGCATTGTGGGGAATTGTGGGGCCCCTGCCTAATGCTCCCTCTAAGCTGTGGAGTCTTGTGAGCAAAAATTCTACTTTGTGAGCTACTGGCATTAAAGTTGTGAGCGAGCGATTTGGCTACCGCATACATTACTTTGCTCTGGAGCCATCTTTCCTGAGCTAAGACAAAAATCTGTGAGCTGGAGGATAAAAAACGGTGAGCTGGCTCACACTAACTCAGCTTAGAGGGAACACTGATGTTTTCCTTTTACAATAAGTGCTGGGGGGGGGCCTGCTTGCAGGGGATAATCAGCCAATGGGGCAGGGGTGTTAAATTCCCCGGTGCCTCTAAATCTGGCCCAGTAAATGTCTCTTCTTCGTCCGTCCCCCCCTTCCCTATTTGTTTTCTCTCCGGTGCTCGAAGCAAGCTCAACTAACAGAAAACTGCCTCTGTGGACATTTGCAGGAGAGAATCAGCAGGTGCGGAAGGATCGAGGCATTTTCTGCCCACCCGTTGATCCTTCCCCGCAGCAACCTCCCCTCCTGCTTTCGTGTTATCTTAGTGGACGTAGATTTGGAAACAGATCTTTGCCGAGATAACCATATATACCCTGAGGCTGCAGCGCTCTAGGCTGTGGATTAGACCCAGGAACACACACAAAAAAGGCTGGACTGTCTGAGCAAAACAGTTCGCTGGGTTTCAGTGAAAAATGTTGAGAAGGCTGCCACAGTAGGTCGGTTTCCGTCTCTCTGTTGCAAACGTGGCCTGGCTTGGATGGCCCAGGCTAGCCCGATCTCATCAGATCTCAGAAGTACAGAGGAGGGTGTACAGGATAGCCCACCCAAACCTGTCCAGGGATGAGAGGGGAATCCTGCACTTTCCAGTACATTAAACAACAACCCACAGAGGTAGGCTACCCTCTCTGGATTCAGAACAAGATGCCACCAGAACCTCTACAATAATCCCCCTCCCAACCTGAGATTAGAGGTTCAAAATCTCAGTTGGCATCTAGGGCTTAACACATTAGCAACTCTTCCCAGAGACGCACAATATTTTAACCTCCAATAGTAGTGTATGTGGTCAGCGTTTAGGCGACAGGATTTTAGGCTTGGAACTCAGGTACAACATCAGAGACCATTTAGAAACAAGAATGATTTTTATTCAATACAGAGCATTGCAATTAAACTATAAGAGATTACAAAATAAGAAAG